TCATTCAGAGTCGAAAAATCCAGTGCCAAAATTTGAGACTTTCCAACCTCAACCGTCACTAATTAGTGCTAATTAGTGACTTATATTTACTCTTTTGTGTTGCTTAAGAGGTGCTGAAATACGAACCTTAGTCGATTTATCCTCCAGGTATATCCCTCCACATGAAAACATTCAAAATACAGACCGCCTGTCTCGGCCTGGGTACTGGGAACTCAGGTCACGGTTTTCCATGTCTGCTGAGGATGATTCGATCCCGGAATTTGTTCCAACACAGTTTCGACGATGAGTCCCATTGTAAATGACTGAATCTCTGAGAATAATTCAGTCTTAATCATCCAATACTGATTGTCTAAGTCCAAGTCCACTTAGTACAGCGCGTATCATCATCCGTTTTCGTTCGAAGGTATCCAGTCACAGGTGTATATTCCTTCAGGATTTCCGCTTGGTATGTGGATGGAAAGACTGATCTTTTTTTCACTTTGCAGAGTGATGAGGTCCTACATTATCAAGCAATGTGATTTACAGTACGCAGATGCATGGAACTAGTCTCGAATTGTTGGCTGCCATCCTACCACCACTCGGTCTTCAAGTTCGCGAGTCGATCAGGTCACACATTTTGAGAATGTTGGACAGCACTGGTTTCTCTCCGTGTAAAGGCAAATGCGATCATTCTATGTAGGTATGTACTCCAGTTCCTAATCCGTTTTCACGAATTCCTCTGTCCAAAGAAGATTCCATCCACCTCAGCTCGAATATTTCAACTTCCCTAGAAACCTGACAACACACTGAGCACATGTTCGGACTGGGAGTTTGGTCACTCTGAAGGCAAGCTTCCAGTCAAATACTCAAGAGAACATCATTGCTCGCGAAGCATGTAAATGCCCGAGAATGAACTATTTGAGCTGCCACGCGACGTGCACAAGTACAAGTAAAGCCTGGCAGAGGCTGTTTAGACTTGCCTGTGATTCCAACATCAATTCTATCCATGCGCCGAAACAAAAGGTTTAATTGAAATACGAGGTGCCAATGGGTTGGCAGGTTAGTAAGGTGTGTATGTATCTATTCAGGCGTCGACCATTCTTCACGCATTAGCCTTGTCTGGATCCATCGTTATATATAGAGCCTCCTGACTGAGAACTAAACTGGCTGAGCGACCGGCTAGATCTAACATCAACGCAAATTCTACACGGGAATATAGTGTGCGTTACAGTCGACATTCAGTTTTACGCCAGGGGTGTATCTGAGCTGCACAGCAGATATACTCATGCTTCTTGGTGAATTCCTTTGTACACTCGTATCTCGGGGATGTTCTAGCCAACTTCAACAATAGGCAGATGGAATTCCGATTCATACTGCCTTTCCATGCATGCTGAAACCACCACATATATGTACCTCATTGTCGTCACTCCCGAGTAGGTTGAACTTGTCAGAGTCTGATTCAATATCCGACATTCGCTACATCCCCAGGCTCGCCTGCTGCTCTCACTACAAAACACACACTTGAACACGTATCAAATCTAATTTCGTTGATGATATGTGGGTTGAATTTTCGCTGTGTTTCTAGTGTATAGTCGAACGAGCACCCAAGTCGAGATGTGCTACTCAGGGCTGTGAGTATCCACCCGCTTGAACCTATGCAGCGGCCTCTCCACTGTCCATATCAGAGACAATTTCAAGCAGGAGCATACACCCTACTTCACGGCCGGACTATAATATCACCACCATATTTGTCGGAAGCCAAGTAGGGATATGACAAAAGGAAAGTTTGAGACCTTTATGTTGGACAGGGAGATTGCATTTGTGCACAACTCAACCACGCTGGGCTGACTGGACATAATGAACAAGCTGGGTTCTGATATTTCAGCAAGCGAGGCAATGTTTTTAAAACTACTAGTGTTACCGGCACAGCAGATGAAAATTGCTTTATATTACGCCTCCAGAGAATTCAATATTTCAGAGGGGCTTCAGGCCGTGAATTATACCATTGGGGGTTGATCCATCCAATTTACATTTAGTTGCAACTCGAAATGCAAGACAGATGTAGCTGGCATTTGAACCGTGGAAATATGACACCGGATCTAATTGATACGGTCCTGGACGTCCAGAACCGCTCCTTCACTAAGAGGAGTGTGTATTAGGATTGATGAGCATTGTATGATGCATCCAGATGGACAACTATGATTATATACGCCCGTAGGAGACTGCCGCGCATTGACGCGGCGGTGGCTGTGTTGACGCGGCAATGACGCGCACCGGCGCGGTACTGGCGCGCGTTGACGCGGCATCGACGCGCACTGACGCGGAGGCTGACGCGGCACCGGCGCGGCAGCCAGCCAAATACAAGGCACCTTTGAACGTCTCAACAAGCGTTAAAAGGGCCTCTTGCATGATTTAAATGGTGGGTACAGCGTGAGAACATAAGGAACTAATGGGGCGAGGCGGATATCTGAACTTTCATCCTGAAGGACTTGAAACTAGACCCAAACATTGTAAGTTTATGCTAACCCTGCGTTTCGATATCCTGAGCACAATTTGCGACGCGTTCCTACCTTCAAAATACCAGCACCAAGTTCGAAAAAGTGCCACGTCAATGTCGCGCCGGTGCGCGCCGGTGCCGCGTCAGTGCGCGTCAATGCGCGCCTGCCGCGTCAATTTCTCCGGACCGGTCCGCCACTGGGTCGTATTCGCACTACAAACATGTTGAATAACCGAGGACATTGCGGGCTGAGGAATTCGAAGCGCGGACGCGAACGGGCAAAAATGACGTTAGATGGCGCATGCATGGAGTTCCGTAGAACTGGGGTTGGAATTCATGTACGAGATGCAGGTGGGGATTGGGCCGTCCATTATTCGCTCTAAGCGCTCAGAAGTTGTTTCGACGAGATGGCAGGTGTTACTTGCAATATTAATATCTTCCCTGTCATAATTCGGAGTGTATCTGGAATTGAATTTGAATTTGAGAAGGCACGAGAGTCAGAAAGAAAAACAGTGCGGTTGACTTCACCTGTCCGATATTAGTATTGAAGGCGGGGGCGATGCGTTCACCACCAGGTCTTATTCCTATAAAGCAGACGGCGGATCGGTGGGGGTGAATACGGAATGAGGAAATCACGTATCATAGCCGCTCCCTTTCGGGCGCAAATTTTGAGGGCGCAGCATGCGCTGGAGGAGACGAAAAACATTGTGTTAATTCCTATGGCCTAGCCTGGAGTCGAACCAGGGATTGCTGCCTTACACTTGGCGCAATCAAGAGCATGAGGGGCAGGGGCTCTCCGCTACTAGGTCGTATTCCTACAAAGTGGAGGGTGAATGGAGAGAGTGGGGGAAATTGCGTACCATCCAGTTAAACAAGCACCTGCGCGTCCTCATCGCCATGTGTTGAAATTTTGTAGGAGAGTAACGTAAACAAGGTGTTGGAGTTTGAGGGAATAAGCGGTGAGTCGGAATTTGGCACGGTGGCCGAAAAAGTATAGGAAACACCATTGGAGGAATATCCATGACCCAGCCTGGAGTCGGACCAGGAACTCCCTCAACACAAGAGCGACGGACACTGGTATTGAAGGCGGGCGCGATGCGTTCACCACCAGGTCTTTTTCCTACAAAGTGTACTTTGAATAAATGCTGTGGAATTCAAACTTGACCGCGCGCGCAAAAAATGAAAGATGTCACAAGCATCGCCATGACCTAGCCTGGAGTCGAACCAGGAGTACTAGTCCTGCCTGCAGCGATCGCAGGCAGACTATGGGAAGTAGGTACGGCCGTCCAATACCAGGTCTTATTCCTACTGAAGTAGACTTTAAATAAATGCCGTAGACAAACCGTAGGCGCACGTACCAGCCGAATCTTGGTAGATATTTGTCATGGTTCCAACTTGACATTGATTTTGCGCGCTGCTGAATCGGACTTCACAGTACAGTTGAAGATGGACGAGAACCAAGAGAGACAGAGGGAAAAAATAGATGATTCTCCGCGGATGACATAGCCCGGAGTCGAACCAGGGACTCCCGCATAGACGCAACAAAGAGACCAATTCAGAGCGGGTGCGGCCGTCCGCTACTAGGTCGTATTCCTACTGCAAAGATCTTGCAGGAGTGGAGGCTGAAAATCGTTGCGGTATGGGTATACTGTAATGTAATATACATCGGCCGGATGTTTTGTCCTTGCCCGTCCATGTGACCATGTTGAAATTTGACGAGAACCAAGCGAGAGAGTGAGAGAAAAGAAGTCGATGCTTCGCGCGCGAATGACCTAGCCCGGAGTCGAACCAGGGCCTGCTGCCTTGTATTGAAATGCGCTCTTGCAATTATCGGAAGCAGGTGCGATTCCCTTCGCTACTAGGTCGTATTCCGAGCTTCAGTATGCGATTGTAGATGAAGAGGGTGGGGAAATTGCGTACCATAAAGTTGAACGATCACCTGCGCGTCCTCCTTGCCATATGATTAGAGCAATGTGTTGAGGCGTAGACGATGTGTTGAATTTTGAGGGAATACGCAATGAGTCGGAATTTGACACGGTGGGCGAAAAAGGAGAGGAAAAACCAGTGGAGCAGAGCTATGACCTAGCCTGGAGTCGAACCAGGGACTCCCACAACACAAGAGCGACCGATATGGTATTGAATACGGGGGCGATTCTCTCACCACCTGATCTTATTCCTATAAAGTCGACGGATAAGTGCTGTGGAATTTAAACTTGGCCTGCGCGCGCAGAAAAATGAAAGATTTCACAAGCATGATCGCCTTCTGGAGTCGAACCAGGACTCCCGCATAGACGCAACAAGGAGACCAATTCGGAGCGGGTGCGGCCGTCCCCTACTAGGTCTTATTTCTTCCTACGAAGTAGACTTTCGTAGAGGTACGACTCATGAATCGCAAGCGCACGTACCAGCGGAATGTTGATACATGCTTCCAAACATCGATTCCTCGCTGCCGGGGTTTCCCTGTACTGTTCAAGTTTGACGAGAAGCAAGAGAGAGAGAGAAAAAGTCGAAACTGCTGAGCGAATGACCTAGCCTGGAGTCGAACCAGGAGTCCTGCCTTATTAACTATCAGGTTCGAACATGTATAAGGAGCAGGTGCGGGCCATTTGCTACTAGGTCGTATTCCTTCCCAAAAGATCTTGGATGAGTGAGGATATTGTGGGCGGAAGAGCACAGATTTGGTTCGAATTGAAGCGTATTTGCGGAGATGAACAAGGTGAGATTCGGTTGGAATAAATTATATTGATGCAAAAATTAGAAGGACGCACGAACGAAAGCACGACGGCCTCAGAGTGGAGCTGGTTGAAACGCACGGGATGGTTCGGAATTGGCATGTCGTGGAGCATTTGGCACCGGGAGGATAAGAACAAAGATGAGTTGATTGGTTTTGGATATGGCCTAGCCTAGAGTCGAACCAGGGCTTGAATTCCTGCCCTGCTCAGGTACCGGCTCTGGAAATCGCGGGCCGTCCGGTACCAGGTCTTATCCCTGCGAAGTAGACTTTGGATAAATGCCTACTCGCGATGGCGCACGTCTGCAGGGGTTTTTCCTGTACCGTTGAAGTTTGGCTAGAAGCAAGAAAGAGAGGGGGAAAATCGGTAGTGGTCCGCGAATGACCTAGCCTGGAATCGAACCAGGGACGCCCGCCATAGATCCATCAAAAGTTCTACTCAGAGCGGGTGCGGGCCGTCGGCTACTAGGTCGTATTCCGACAGAGGAGAGCTTGAGTATGCGCTTGTAGATGGAGAGGGTGGGGAAATTGCGTACCATAAAGGATTAGTTGCCCGTACTCCCCGCAATGTGTTGCAATTTTGTAGGAGAGTATTGTGAGCAAATTGCTGGATTTTAAATGAGCGATATGTTCAAAGCTGAGTGAGCGAGCTAAGAAAGAGAAGGAAAACGATCAAAACCATCTTATGACCCAGCCTGGAGTCGAACCAGGAACTCCCGCAACACAAGAGCGACCGACAGTATTGAATACGGGCGCGATGCGTTCACCACCAGGTCTTATCCCTATCAAGCAGACGGCGGATAAGTGCTGGTTAATACAGATGAGGAAATCGCGTACCACCATCACTTCCTTTTGGTGCGCTAAATTTTGAAGGCGGTCATGCGCTGAAATTTGAGGGAGTGAGCGCGAGACGGAAAAAGTCGACTAGCGTTATTGAATGACCTAGCCTGGAGTCGAACCAGGAGCACTACTAGTCCTGCCTCATTAGCGAGTCAACATGCATAAGGAGCAGGTGCGGGCCGTCCGCTACTAGGTCTTATTTCTGCGAAGCAGATATTGAATGAATGAATGCCGTAGAAGTACGACACAGGCGCACGTAACTTACCAACCACATCTTGGTAGGGTTCCAACTTGACATTGATTCTTCGCGCTGCTGGGGTGTTTCTGTACCGTTGAAGTTTGGCGAGAAGCAAGAGAGAGAGAGGGAAAAAATTGGTAGTGGCGAATAACCCGACCTGGAGTCGAATCATGGACTCCCGGCATAGATGGACAGCTAGTCAGAGCGGGTGCGGGCCAGGTCGTATTCCTACTCACAAGATCTTGGATCCGTGAGGATATTGCGGGGTGAAGAATGACACACCGAGTTCAAGATTTGAGAAAGATGCGGTGAGGACCAGAACTTTGTGCATGAGAGGGTGAGGCGGAGACGGTGTGTGTTTGATGATGGATCGAAATATACTGGAGGCGAATAACAATACAGTCTGAGAGCACATGAGAGACGGTCTTGACAGCGGGAGACGGGTAAGAAGCGTAACGTTGGGCGGGCCGCCGCTGGGAAGCTTGAGAAAAATATTATTGGCGGACGTCGGTATTAGCAGCCGGTGCAAACTAGGACCTGAAGAGCTTATAAGCGAAACAGGTTTGGAGTTGGATCCCCATCTCCCTGTTGTCCTTGCTTCACCAACAAGCTCCCTGTGTGTTTTTGACATCAACCACCCTAACCCTAACCCTAGGCACCGCGGTATGATCTCAGAAAATGGGTGGAATAACATCTCAAACAAAACTGTGCCGCGTCGGCACAATATGAGCGTTCTGGCTAATTCTTTTTGCCAGTCAGAGTTTTTTAATGAGGAGAGTGTCGTCCTAAAACTGTGAGTTCATCCGCGCAGTCAAAGGTAGGGAACAGCACGGTGTTTCGCTTCCACGTTGTGTTTCGCTTCAGGGTTAACTACTGTACTCGCTCACTTGCTAACATTGGGTTCGTACAGTGCTACTCTGATCATGCCGTATTTTATATACGCGTCGACGGCCATATTATCATCATGGCAATTCATGTTGATGACTGCACCATCACTGGCAGCTCTCCGAAACTACTCAGGGAGTACAAGATTCGTATCGGGGATCTCTTCAAGATGACCGACCTTGGGCCTGTCAGCTGGCTCCTCGGCATCGAGATCAAACGCAACCGGGAGGAACATACCATTTCATTGTCGCAGCAATCGTACATCACATCGATTCTGCAGCGGTTCAACTTTACCGACAGCAAACCACTCGCCATGCCCATGGACCCGAATTTCCAACTCTCGACGGACCACTGCCCGACCAGTGTCAAGGATATTGCCGCTATGAAGCAGGTGCCCGTACCGCGAGGCTGTTGGCTCACTTATGTGGGCAGCCGTTGGTACGCGTCCTGACATCGCTTACCCTGTTGGGATACTGTCTAAATACCTAGATAATCCGGGACCAGCCCATTGGGAAGCTATCAAGCACGTATTTCGTTATCTTCAAGGCACCAAAGACTTACGTCTTACTTACGGCGCTGGCAAACGTGGGTTGGAAGGATACTCGGACGCGGACGGCATGTCTCACGAACACAGGCGAGCAATTTCTGGTTACGCATTCATTATTGATGGAGGTGCCGTATCTTGGAGTTCCAAGAAACAGGAGCTCGTCTCGCTATCTACAACGGAGGCAGAGTACGTTGCGATGACGCACGCTGCCAAAGAAGCCATTTGGCTTTGCCAACTCATCAGTGAGCTATTCCGCCCGCTCGAACACCCTATTACATTGCACGGCGACAACCAATCCGCAATCGCTCTTACCAATTCCGACATAGGTCAATTTCATGCACGCACGAAGCATATTGACATCCTCTACCATTTTATTCGGTACGTGATCGAAAGCAATTATATTCGACTCGTCTACTGTCCTACTTTGGACTCGTACTGACTTTTATGACTCCCGTAGGAATAATGACTCGCTCCTGTATGACTTGATATGACTCACCTCAGTAGTATAAAAGAAACTGTATTCTGTAGCATTAATTTAATAAGAAGTTCTTACTTCTCCCTTTTCTCAATATATTTCTTCTATACATGATACGCAGAAGTACAGATTAGGCGGAAAAGGTCGGCGTCTCGACTCGACAGAGATATCGATATACGACGCTGAGAATCACAGGATATCGATGCGACCTGGGTCAACCGACAACTGGGTGGGGAAGTAAACGATGAGGATTCGGGCTCATTGGGCAGTCATTATGCTCAGCGGGGTCCCGTTAGCGTGCCCTCACGGCGGAAGATGAGGGTTCGGGAAAAGGAAGAAAATTACGGATCATTCAAGGATCATTGATCCGAAATTCAAGTGGCATCGGACCGAATGACCGGAGATCAATGTCGCAGCCAAGCACGGGCACACGCCTCATCCGTTAGCCTTGGCCCTTAACTCTACCTTTCCACCGCGCCCGTGAGCACTTTAATCCTTTTTCCTCTCCTACACTATGCTACGCACGCCAACCTTCCTTCCCTTCGTTCTTATGTGGCATCGCTGACGATCTGATTGCGCGCAGGAGCAGGATTTGCGCTGGGATGCCCGCCTCGAAGCGCGCGCAGCAGTCGCGGCACAGCGCACAAGGCACGCCCGCCGTCGCCGCCAGCGCCCTTCCACCTCCGCCGCTGCCAACGCCGCCCCTGTATCCATATCGACCACGGCCGCTGCCCCGCCCCGACGACCACTCCCAGAGCCCCGCCCACGCCAGCGCCGACTTCACCAACGGTTCCCGCTATGCCTGCATCTAAACTACCGCTGTTCCTCCAGTCCCCCGCCCAGCGCGACCGTTCTAAATCCCTATCCGTCGATCGCCGCATCTATATCCACATCTTCCTCGAGCGGGGGCGGGAGGCGCTTTCTGGGACTGGGTAAGGACACCCGCGAACGCGAACGATAGCGCATCCGCGACGCCGAACGGACAGAACCGAGCGCGACCGAGCTGCTCACCCTCCACGAGAGCGGCCACAACACCGACAACTTTGAATACGACGATCTACGGCCGCCGGGTAGTCCGCCTACGCATACAGCGGCGGCGTGCCACTGCCCACCCGCGTACGCGCTCGGAGCGGCACTTTTCCTTCTCGCAGTCGACGCCGCCGCCTTCATGGGGGCACAGCAGCGATCATGGACACGGGCAGACACTGTACCTCACGCGATCCCGAGCCGACTGGGGGGCGGGGACGTCGCGGCGCGGCTGAGCGGGTGGTTCGCGCATCTGTCGGGTAGCACGAGCGATTTGTCGCTGACTGCGCCGCTGTCGGGTGCGTTAAGCCAGAGTACGAGTACCGCCGCGGCGCTTGCGTCCTCGACAACATCGACTTCAAGAAAGAGCGAGAGCGGCGGGGGCAGCCCGGGGAAGGGGCTGCTGGACAAGGCGGTGCGCTGTCTGCTCGACGGGGAAGCGGCGCCAGACCGCAGCGCGCAGGAGATCCGCTCCTGGGCGTGCATTTACCTGGCTGGGACCTTGAGGACGAGCGGCGCCCAAGTGCAGCACGCGTACTCGCACTCCACCTCCAAATCCCATTCCCACTCGACCAACCCCAGTACCAACGACGGGGAGCTCGACACGGGGGTGTGGCCCGCGCGCTTCCGCACACACTTGTACGCGCGGGTGTGGTGCACGTACCGCGGGGTTCGAGCCCATTCGCAACCTGCCTTCGCTCGCGTCGCTGCCTCTACCTTTATTCGTTGCCGCGAATCCCCACAATCCCAATAACCACACGAGCAGCAACCCGCCGATGTCGCCGAGCCAGAACGACGGCTCGGTGTCGAGCGCGTCGTCGCATTCGCCGACGCATTCGCATGCGCATTACATGCAGGCGGGGCGGTGCGCCGCGGG